ACTGAACAACAGGTGGATGGAGTGGATGCTTGTGGATGTTGTGTCAATCAAGCGGGCTGCTTTGTCCTGGATGGTGTCAAGCTTCTTGACTGTTGTTGGGGTTGCAGTCATCCAGGCAAGTGGGGAGTATTCCATCACACTCCTGACTTGTGCCTTGTAGATGGTGGACAGGCTTTGAGGAGTCAGGAGGTGAGTTACTTGCCACAGTATTGCTTGCCCTGACCTGGTCTTAAAGCCATTGTGTTTATGTGGTGAGTCGAGTTGAGTTTCTGGTCAATCGTAACCCCCAAGATGTTGATAGTGGGGGATTCAGTGATGGTAACACCATTGAATGTCAAGATGTCAAGGGTGGTGGTTAGATTGTCTCTTATCGGTGGTGGTCATTGCCTGGCATTTGTGTGGCACGAATGGCACTTGCCACTTGTCAGCCCAAGCTTGGATATTGTCCAGATCTTGTTGCATTTGAACATAGGCTGCTTCAGTATCTGAGGAGTAACGAATGGTGCTAAACATTACGCAATCATCGGCAAACATCCCCATTTCTGACCTTATGATAGGGGGAACATCATTGACGAAACAGCTGAAGATGGTTGGGCCTCAGACACTACCCTGAGGAACTCCTGCAGAGATGTCCTAGAGCGGAGGTGATTGACCTCCAACAACCATGACCATCTTCCTATGTGTTAGGTATGACTCCAACCACTGGAGAGTTTGCCCCCAATACCCAATGATTCCAGTTTTGCTAGGGCTTCTTGATGCCACACTTGGTCAAATGCTGCCTTAACATCAAGGGCTATCACTCTCACCTCACCTCTGGAATTCAGCTCGTTTGTTCATGTTTGAACCAAAGCTGTAACAAGGTCAGGTGCTGAGTGGCCCTGGCAGAATCCAAACTGGGCGTCACTGAGCAGGTTATTTCTGAGCAGGTGCTTCTTGATAGCACGGTTGATGACACCTTCCACCACTTTACTGATTGAGAGTAGACGGATGGGGTAGTAATTGGACGGGTTGAATCTGTCCTGCGTTTTGTGTACAGGACATACTTGGGCAATTTTCCAAATTGTGGGGTAGATACTAGTGTTGTAATTGTACTGGAACAGCTTGGCTAGGGGAGCGGCAAGTTCTTGAGCATAGGTCTTCAGTACTATTGCCGGAATGTTGTCAGGGCCTGTAGCCTTTGCAGTATTCAGTGTCTCCAACTGTTTCTTGAATCATGTGGAGTGATTCGAATTGGCTGAAAACTGATATCTGTAAGGCTGAAGACCAGAGGAGGAGGCAAGATGGATCATCCATTACGCATCTCTGGCTAAAGACTGCTGCGCAAGTTTCCACCTTATCTTTTGCACTGATTTGGTGGGCCCTTCCCCATCATTGAAGATGGGAATATTTGTGGAGTCCCCCCCTCCAGTGAGTTGTTTAGTCGTCCATCACCATTCAGGACTGGATGTGGCTGGAATGCAGAGCTCAGATCTGATCCGTTGGTTGTGGGATCGCTTAGCTCTATCACTTGCTGCTTTCGCTGTTTGACGTGCAAGTAGTCCTGTTTTCGGTGGCTTCACCAGGTTGATACCTAGTGAAGCTGTAGGCTGTTTCCTACCTGTAGCTGTAGCCTACCTTCAAAGTTTGGACTTCTCTTTTTGCCAGACCATTGGATGATGAATGTTATGGAGCTGTCCTTATATGTCGAATACCATTTGACTTTAGGAAACACCCAAATTCCTTTCTGGTAAATGGTGGCACGTTCTAGTTTCTAAGGCTGACCCTTTTTTAAGAGTTGATGCAAAGGTGCCAGAATGGAGGCCAGGTTATGTCGGAACTTCCTGTAATAATTCAACAGCATAAGGAGAGACCTAAGCTCCGGTACAGATGCGGGAACGGGGGCACATTTGATCGCCCTCATTTTATCTTCCAATGGGTGTAACCTGGTCTTGTTAACTCTATAGCCCGAGTAGGTCACTTGGGGTGCCTGGAACACACATTTTTCTCTTCTAAGCTTTACACCCACCTGGGAAAAACATCTAAAGGACTCTGCCCAAGTTCTCTAAGTGCTCCTCATTAGTCTTCCCTGTTAATAGCATGTCATGTAGATAAATGGTGACTTGGAGTAGACCTTGTAAAATGTTCTCCATCATCCACCGAAAAATTGCACAGGCTGACGATATCCCACACAGCAGTCTCATATATTAATACAAACCCTAATGGGAATTCATTGTAGCACACATCTGGGAATCCTCATCTAGTACGCATGGCTCCTAACCACCACCTCTTCCCCCCTCCCACCCTGCCAGCTTTATGTATAAATCCTCTATGCAAGGGATTGAGTATTTATCCAGCTGTGAAAAGTGATTTACCATTTGTTTAAAATCCCCACAAAGCCAAACTGAACCATGAGGGCTCACAATTACTATGACCAGTGCTGCCCATTTCTCAAACTGGACTTTTTTGATGATTCCTTCGCTTTCCAGCCTTCTGATTTCTGCCTCTATTTTTGCCCAAAAGGCAAATGGTATTGGGCGGGCAGAATCATGGAATTGCTTCCTGGTCAACATGCAAGGTGACCTTGGCTCCTTCGATAGTCCCTCGACCTTCCTGAAAAGCTTTAGGGTATTTACTTAGGACTTCACTCAGGCAGCCATTTTCTAATCGAAAAATGTTGAAGTGAATCTTTCTCAACCGATTTCACCCCATCAGGCTTAGGCCTGAGCCTTTTATTACAAACAGTGGTAACTGAACCAGCTGCTTCTCGTAAGAGACAGAAACCGAAGTTGTACCTTTAATCTGTAAAGATGCCCCGTTATAGGTTCTCAGTTTTTCCAAGACTTTGCACAAACTTAAGAGTTGGAGTCCAGAGCGAATTATGTTAAAGACTGGTTCTGCCATCACTGAAACAGTCATGCCAGTATCAACTTCCAAAAGAACTGGGTGACTGTTTAACCAGACTTTTATTTTGATTGGTTTGATTTGGATATTGCTAATAATTTAACTTATCGAAACCAGAGGTAGGTGGACTTTCCAGAATGTGCACTCTCCTGGTTACTGGCTATGAGTTCCCTTACTCAATTTAGGTCTCAAAGCAGGATCCTTTTCCTGGCTCAAGTCTGCATACCACAGCAACTACAATGGCCTGCCAGACTGGATCCTGAAGAAAATTTTAACCGTTTGGCAAAGGCTTGGCTTTGTGTTGGCTTCTGCCTTGAGCTGACTTAGAGTCCCTCTATTCAGGATACGTTCCGAGTGAAGCTTTGCAATTACCTTTACTCAAGTGGTGGTCCCCAAGCTCAGTCTGCCTGGCGAGGGTGTCCAATTAATGTAATACGCTGCAACTCAGATGCTCTGCTTGCTGCATTTTCCAATGATAAAGCCAGTTGTAATGCCTGTTTGAAGTCCAGTTGCACTTTTGCATGTTTACATCATTAATCCTATTCTCGTTGCCACTGAAATAACTCCACAGAGGCTGGTATCCCATCACCACTAACATCACCTCAATGCATGATTTTGTTGCTTTGCCTGTTCCATTAACATTTGTTTTGTCCTTACACTACCAAGTCTGTCTTCCACATCATCAGAGACCTTTGCTTTTATTCTTTTCCCTTTCCTCATTGATTTGCTCAAAGCTATTCCATCACTAATATTTGCCAATTTTAATGAAAGATGAAGTGTCAAAACTTGTTCTCCACACAAATGCCTATCGACCAGCTGAGGAGTTTCACAGTTTATTTTTATTAGAGAAACTTTTCTAACTGCATTGAATCAGTATGCCTGCATACACACCACAACAATATAGAATAGAATAATATAGAATCCCTACTGTGTGGAAACAGGCCCTTCAGCACAACAAGTCCACACCGAACCTCGGAGCATCCCACCCAGACCCATCCCCCTATAACCCACCTAATCTACACCTCCCTGAATACTACGGGCAATTTAGCATGGCCAATCAACCTAACCTGCACATCTTTGGACTGTGGGAGGAAACCAGAGCACCCGGAGGAAACCCACGCAGACCAGTGAAGAATGTGCAAACTCCACACAAACAGTCGCCCGAGGATGGAAGCGAACCCGGGTCCCTGGCGCTGTGAGGCAGCAGTGCTAACCACTGTGCCACTGTGCTGCCCTGGCACCATGCCGCTCTGGCTCAGAGATAGTGGGAACTGCCAATGCTGGAGTCTGAGATAACAAGGTATAGAGCTGGATGAACACAGCAGGCCAGGCAGCGTCAGAGGAGCAGGAAAGCTGACGATTCGGGTCTGGACCCAGACCCAAAACATCAGCTTTCCTGCTCCTCTACTGTTGCCTGCCCTGCTGTGTTCATCCAGTTCTACACCTTGTTACAACAATATGGCTGCTGCTTCTAGTTGTTCTTGTCAAAGATCTGTTGAAATTGTACACCACGCATGTCTATCTTGCACCATCCTCACAGGGGCACTGTAAGGTGTCTGCAACCAATCTGTGACATCCTTCATCCAATTACAACTTGGTCAATCCTGCTTTCTTCTACCAACCATTTTACTGCTAAGATGAGATCCCTAGATTTTCAGTTCTGATTAAATGGCTAAAATACTGATTTTTTTTCTGGATGTCACTTCCTAAGAGTTTTCTTTTTAACTTAGCCCTTTCAATTTCACTTACCATTCATCTTGTGGCTTATATATGGAATTTTTACCATACATTATATCATTAACATATCAAAAGCCTCTGTTCCACAGATTTTTATTTAATGTCCACATTTCTGAGTCATACAAGACAGTGGATGAAATCTTGGAATTAAAAAAAGGCCCGAAACGTCAGCTTTCCTGCTCCACTGATGCTGCTTAGCCTGCTGTGTTCATCCAGCTCTACACCTTGTTATCTCTTACCCTATAACCTTGAGTTGTCTTCATGTTCACACATCCTTAACCTTCATAAAATTGCTTTCTGGCTACCTCTACCTTCTAACTTCTGCATCACAGCTGTCATCTCCAGGTATAATCTGAACCATGAAGACTTAAAAGACAACTTACCTCTTTGTTTCAGCGTTACACCATCCACGTCAATCTAATCCCCTCTCTAACATATTGCATGCAAACATCAAGCAGAATTAACGGCTAGCAATGATACTTCCCCTTCCAAACACAATCACTACAACTCAAACCAACCACGTTCAAAAGCTGAGGAGCCGGAAGTAGAATATGCACACTGGAATACGGCATGCTGGGAATTGTAGTCACCTCACGCGCATTATCGCGGCGCAGATAACTACAGATCCCAGTTTGCAATGCTTTCTCCATACCCTTCTCACTCCGCCTCCCCCGCCTCAAATGAGTCACACAAACTCCGCCCGCTCAATGGTTGCGCGCCGTCAAGGCTAGTGTGAGGGAGGGGCCACATCACCATGGCGATGAGCGCGAGAACGGGATGATGATTGTAAAAAAGCCGATGACGTTAGTCTCCGCCCTTCCCCCCACAAGGCTTTGCAAAGAAGAAAGAACTTGACGGTGAGAAGATGGAGCTTTAGGGAGAGTCGGCGGCGCTTGGGGGAAGGAAAGTAAAGGAAAGGAATAAGGAAACGGATCCGTAAAATTCAGGAGAGGGCGGGGGGAAAGCGACACAACTCGGTGGTTTCTATATGTTCGCGTTTCGCCTGTCGTCGTGCTGAGGAGAGAGGGGGAAAAAAAAGCGACGAGGATGGCTAGCGCCAGTGGTTCGAAAGCGGAATTTATCGTCGGTGGAAAATACAAACTGGTCCGGAAAATCGGCAGCGGCTCGTTTGGCGATATCTACCTAGCGATTAACATCACCAACGGGGAGGTGAGTTGTAAGGTGGTGGGGTAAAGCCGTCCTGTTTATCCCCAACGCCGTGCCCAGTATAACTGCCAACGTTGTTTAATCACCCGTTGACTAGTTGTTTTATTATTATTTTTTTCCTTTTTCTATTTGCCCCTTTTTTCCCTCCCTGGCCTTTGTAGGAAGTGGCAGTGAAATTGGAATCACAGAAAGCGAGGCATCCTCAGCTTCTCTATGAGAGCAAACTGTACAAGATCTTACAGGGAGGAGTCGGCATCCCTCACATCCGGTATGTTAAACTGATCAACTTTGTTGTCTTTGTGTGTTTTATGTAACAATTGCGCCGTTTTGAGTGTTTGTGCGGTAGATGACCGCCCTCTCTCTCTTCCCTTTCTCTCGCCGCCCTCCCCTCCCCACCCCGTTTTTAAAAAAACCCAACAACCTCCGCCAAAGGGCTGGCAAGAAACATGTAGCGACAAGGCACCCACTTCTGTTATATAATCTCGTCTCAGTCTTTCTCCATTAATCGAAGCTGATCATTTGAGGGCAATGCATTCGCGTATGTTTATTTCTAAATAAAGATTGAGCCGTTTCCAGAGCGTTCACTTTTTTGTGGCCTAATCTCTCACGACCTATGGTGTCCTCTGTTATAGTCGGTTGCAGTTCCCCTTTCACTCTTTCTCTGTTCCCCACACGCTTCCTCCACCCCCCCGTCCCCCCCGTCCCCCAAAGAAAAAAACTCTCTTGTAGTCAGCACTCTTCGCCTTTTGAAAATCAGTTCGCAGGCATCCGGTTTTCTTGGAAAATGTATTCTCCAGGTGTTTTCTTTTAATTGTGCTCTGACATGTACAGTGTGGATGATTGCGTGGAATGGCTGCTCTTTTGTTGTGTTTTGCACGGACATGTCATAAAATGGCGGATCGACGGGATTTAGGAGCAAGTTTCATCTCATCAGATTTATATATTTCTTCGTGGTATCCCCAGTGATTCATTAATTCCGACTCCCAGGATGCTCGTGCACAATCTACTTAAATAACATTTCAAAAACAAGAGGCCTCTTTTGGCTAACTTGAAATGAACTACTTTTGTACTCGACAACTTTTTTGTCTGAGTTTACGGACTGAGGAAGTAACTTGGTGTTTCCATTCGGAAAGTGCATTGATGTTTTCTGTGTAGTTTTTGGGTATAATAAATAAGGAAAATTTAAATATATAGACAACTGGTGAAAGTGGAAACCTTAACTAGGGTGGCTTATAACAACGCAAATAGTGAGTTAAATCAAACAAGTGTAAAGAAATTAAATTGTATCAAGGTAAAAGTTTTCGGTGTTAATGGGGGTTATAGATCGTGACACTGCAGGCTACTATGGTAGGCAAAAAACAATTGGGGCTTTTTTTTTAAAAAAAAGTACCCTAATTGCAAGAACAGTAGATCCAATATACACACTTACAATTTACCACTTAAGATTTACAAGGGGAGCTTTGTGGTGAAAATATTAAAATGGAAAACAATAGGATTTAAGATGGTTTCCACCCCATAGTAATCAAAAATAGTTCTAAAGCCTATCTCATTCAAGCTGTTGGAATATTATTGTTATATTCCATTAATTAAACCTGGAAAACCAGATGCGGCCTGTCTGTTTAACATGTTAGAGTTTTTTTACAGACGATAACTGAGCAATTGAACAAAAATGAGAAGCTGAGCTTGAACACAGTGGATATGTCTGTGGGCCTTCAGAAGGCCTTCAAACTAGTTTTCAGCTCACCAGCCAAGGTTGGTGGGGTCAGTGGTGCATGTACTACTGTCAACATTGAGAGTGACTGAATTTGTACATCAAGCTTTTAGAAACATTAGCTTTAAGACATAATTTGAAACATTTTTAACATCTGTTGTATAAGGATAATTGAGATAAAATTAGGATTTGGAAATTACATATATTGTCAGTAGACAGACCATTATTTAACTTTGTCCTAGTGGAATGTTTGCCTAAGTACAAATCCTTAACTGTAAAAATGCATGAAACTGGTGTATTATCTGCCTAGTGTTTTGAATTCACTGGTGACAACTGTTAGACATCTGGTTTGTTCAGGGCTTGAACCCCACCCAGATAAGTTGCCAAATGCAGCTGAATGGTGCTCCTAAATATGTCTAATTTCTTGTAGGTGGGGCAGTGCCACCTGGTGAAAGAACTGTAGCGCACCCTTTGTGCTTGCTCAAATGAATGAATCAGGAAGTGTGAGAATGTCGTTACAAAGATTTATTTCAAATTTGTGGTTGCAAATCAAGTATGTCTTTAATGGAGAAAAGGATGTCCTGCAACTATAAAGCCACTGCAAAGAGATTTTTGCATTGCACGAAGACACCAATTGTTGCTGCAATAATGCAAATCTAATCTCTGAACATGAGCTGTCACTGGATTGAAATTGAAGTCCTTGAAGAATGATTCAGTCTACAAATCTGGACTTGCAAGTTACTGTCAGCAAATCCCGAAATAGGAACAAAGCTACATTGCTATACCACTGCAATTTCAAAAATATTTGAAATCTATCTGTGTCATGAGTTTGAGCTGAATCGTCTCTCTGCTTTGAAATATATTTCACAGGAAATTATGTAAGATATTGTTAGAAGGCTGATGCCTCAGACTTGTTTTGTATTCACACACTTGCCTTGATGCATTGGTTTCTTCAAGCAAGGTAAAATCAGCTTGTTGAAGTTCCAGTATCCTTAGTGCAGTTCAAAATTCTAAATCCTTTGTGCTATATCACTGTTACCCTGGCACTTGCTGAATTGTTTCAGAATTTTTTTTCTGGGAGTACTGTAAGAGGCTTGTTTTACGATTACATGTTTTAGTGTCAGATGGTAGTCACACGGGATCATGTGTTCGTGCATGGATGTTAAAGAGCAAACCTGGTTCTGCAGCAGCATCCCCTAACGTCTTGTTACCCTGATTATTGCTCTTGCACGTCAGCTGGCTGAATTTAGAAAGTCAAGACTAGAAGGTGGCCATTCATCTCCTCAGGCCAGTTCTGCCATTCGATGAGACACTTGTTGACCATTATATTAAAAACAGTTTGGCCTCAATTGGAATATTGTCAATTCTGGGCATCACGTTCAGGATCTGTGTGAAGGCTTGAGGCTACAGAAAAGACCGTTTTTGGGCTGAGGAACTTAGGTTACTTAGGCAGATTGAAGGAGCAGCATTTGCTCACCCAAGAGACGACGAAAGGAAATTTGATAGCAGTGGTCAAGGTCATGAGGTTTTATGCAGTTTTGCTTGGGAAAAATCCTCTCCACTGAGGGTTGAGGACAGATTGCAGTGAGTGAGATTGGAAAAGGCTCCATGGCAGGTATTGGTAGATTCGATCTTGCCTTTTAAAAGGGAGATGGAAAGGCGAATGAAGGAAAAGAATAGCTATGCCGTGGAGATCATGTGAATGGGGTTAGCTAAATTGTTCTTGGATAGCCAGTCCAGTCTCAATAGAACACTTGGCCACTCTGTGCTGTAGCATGATTATCTGTAACCAAATCCACATATTTATATTTATCTTTATCCTGTTCCTCCAATGGGTGATGAGAATCTTTCAGTCTGATTTAAAATGCTGACTTGAGTCAGCGTTAGTTGATTATTGACAGAATTTCATACTTTTTATCTACAAGGTAATATCATTCCTAAAAATCATAGCTTTAACCTCTAAGCTGTTTTCCCAACCAATAGATATAGTTTCTATCTACCCAAATAGTTTCCCTTAACAACATAACCGTTGAATATTTTACCCCATAATCTGTTTAAAATCAGGAAATCAAATGCTCGACTTCTGATTGATTAACCCTTGAAGTCCAAATGTAATTGCTTGTTATTCAATTTCTCCTGATCTACCCTCTTGGTTCTAGAGTTTTTGCTGGTGATTATCTGAAAAAAAAATTATCTGAAAAAAAAAATTAGCAGCCTCCAATGTGTTTGTTAATCTGTATGGAAGTTACAAAGGCTCCATTAAAACATTCAGCCTTCATTAATACTGGTCTAATCTCTGCATTAATGTTACCTACGATGTTTGTGCTGAGTGCTTATGCCAATTGAAAACTGAATATTGATGCCAGCATAGCTCTTGTATATCCCTTCCGATCAAAGAGACTTGTTCAGTTTTCAGCTAGCGTCCTGTAGAAAAACAGTGCTATACCACAAAATACTTTGTCCTGTCAATGTTACTTGACACTGGTTTGTGGAATTTCAGGATGTTGTCTGTTGTGGCTAGCTTCAAACGTGAGCACAGTCTGCTGTGGTTTTAGATTGATTTCACTTCAATTTATAAGTGAATTAGTTTTCTTTTGTTATATATTTTGATTGAGTCACGGGCTCTGATTTGTGCCCCTTACTGCTTGTTTTTTTA